AAAATACAAAATAATTGTTTTCCATGAGTAATCGTAATAGAATATAATATAATATAATAATGAAAAATAATGAGAAAGAAAACTTCAGTACAAAACTAACCAATGCACACTAGTCTCTCTCGAATGAAAAATCTCTTCAAAACTTAATAATAATATAATATTACTTGAAAGAAACGTATGTAGTTACTATTCGCTAATAAAACATGAAGAAAAAAATGCTTTATCTACAGTGTTTTCTCAATGTTTCCTGACGTAGGCCATGTTAACCGATATATTTTCAAGTCTTACAAACTGACTTATTGGCAAGAGTCATGAATCGCACACGAGGACGTCTTCAGATAAAAAGAAAAATCATTTTTTTTTTTTTTTTCAAAATGGCAATTAGAGGGAAGCAGTTTGAACAAATCAACTCGGAAGAATAAGTACTCTATTTGGTGTCAGTGGTTCGTGCTTGGGCGAGAAGACTTCCTTGGCCATTCTTTCAGTATGTAAAAGAAGAATAATTCAACAATCTCGGTAAATAAAAAGTCTATTGTGCTTGAATAATGATTATTGCACACTTACATAAATCCCTGATGTTCTAAGATAAACAGTGGCAGTTCAGTAAAATTAATTGTGAGCACAGAAAAACCTAAATGTTAATTACGTTTAAAAAGTCGGATTTAACGTTTTCTGGAACGTATTTTGCACTTGAAGCGTAATTTACGATTTCGGATTTGTGAATTGAGATGATTTTTTCGGTATTTTAGGTTTACTTATCCGTAATTAACGACGAAGAAGAAAATGGGATAGTTTCGGGTATCGTTGTGGGGATTTTTAGTCGTGGAGAGTTGGTGGGCTGAGCCGCAGGCGAGGCCTGCCGACCGCACGGTATAAAAACCCCAAAACAACAGCCCGGACAGCATTTTTCCCTAGTGATTTTCACTTCACGTGTTTGGGAAGGGCTAATACCAATCCCCGAACGAAGAAAAGTGAAGAGATGTACGGAAAAGGTTATTTAAGTGTAAATTCCATGTTTTTTTTCGTGAATTAGGCATAAATAAATCGTAAGAAATGTTTTTATTAGGGATATCCAAGCACCTTTTACAGTTTTTTAGTTTTTTAAGATTAAATTGGGCGAGAAAAATTAGAAAAAAAATCGTGAATAATCTGCGTCATTCAAATCACGTATTGCACAGAATTACAATTTTTTTAAACATTGATTGGTCATAAAAAATTATTGAAATTGTTTAAAGTTTCGGAAAACTTTTTTTAGGCGTGAAATCAGATTGTTTGTAAATTATTAATTGTTTTAAAATTATTTCATTAATTTTCCTCCAAAAGTAAACTTTCTAATTTTTTTTTCAGATTTTTGAAATGTTCTCGCGGCTCAAATGAAAAAAGTAGAAAGACATTTCACTGGCGAAAAAATAGCCAAAATACTTGGATATCATAATTTACAATTTCTTAAGCACGAAATACGCTTTTTTTTTTACCAACATGATATTGGGATTAACCGTAAATTTACCTTTAGGTTTTTCTGTGTTTAGATTTGAAATTGTTGCGACAACATATGAACGAAAGTGAGTAATCAATATATATCAAAATTCAAATACGTATTTATGGATTTCTCTTTGTACCTATTCAAAAGTATACGTCTCATGAGTTGGTAATGAAAAAAAAAAAAATATGTTCACGTATCACTCGAGTTGCAAAACAAGGTAATGGCATTATTGCATCGAATGAAATATATATCTATCTTTATATTTAATATATCAATTCATGTATACATATGGGTATGTAAAAATGTTCAACGTGGCATTGTAGCATCTGTACGCAGTGACTCGTTAATTCGCGGAATAAAATACTATTTCTTTGATGTTTCTGGTGTAAAATAATAACGTAACAAACAACAAGAAACAAATTCTATTACATCTAGTGTTGATGGATTAATAATCATTAACAGTATCGCCGGTTAATTCAGTGTGAAAAAGGCTCATTTGCGTATCAGTTCGCGGAAATAACCGCATCTGCCCCCTGTTGCATTCTCCAACAATTGCGAATTTTATTTACGGGGCTCTCATTACCGGTTTACAACTCTCGTCTAGTCTTTTTAAAAAAAATGGGGTGAAAATTATAGTCAATGAGGGGAGCTGAAAGGACATTTTACACCACGAAGAAAAATTTTACATCAAAAACACTCGTGATATTACCAACACGACGCGTTTCCACAAGTTTTTAATATTAAAATCTGTTGAATCATTTATCATAAGTTATCTTCATTTAAAAATTTGTCCCCATTTTTACGTATTTCAGTATTTTGTTCGAGCTCGTATATATCATCAGAGAGTTTACATGTTCCGTGTCCCAGCACAGAGAATAAAAAAACCCCCCAATCCAATCGAAATGAAACAAGAATAAAGCCAAATGCAAAACAAAAAAAAATGACGTTTATTAATATTTTTAGAAAAAAAAACTCGAATTAAACAAATTTAGTAAATCTTCACCAATTGCCACGATCACATCGTCAAAGTACCTGACGCACTCTGTTTTTGGCCCTTGGCATATATAATATGACGATAATAATAATGATATATATTTGTATAATAGAACGATAATAATAATTTAATGAATGAAAATATTAAATTTTGTTTAGCGTGCACAGACACGTTCTTCACATTTCCTAGTACTTTTTTGTTATCCATTATCTTACGAGAGATACCGATAGTAATTGCAGTTTTTTTTTCATTTTCATTATAATATACCATTCCTAAAATATGATCAAATCACTGCCGCGAGCAGCAATTCCGAGGCACTACGAACAGGCCACAACGAATATGGCCGCACAATATCCCCCCCCCCCCCATCCCCCATCATCCCTAAATAATAAGACTATATAGAATGACCCTAATACATCATTAATTTTTCAACGTACTTACATCATCTACTAGATAGATCAATAATGTAATTTATACAATAATTAGAGAGATCACACGGCTTAATATAGAAATTTAAAAGACTATTTCTAGCACGTAAAATTCTTGTTCTTATGTATCTCTTAAATTTCTTTCTCCATCCACCTCACGTAATCCTCAAACTCCCAATCATTTTAAGTATTGCCACGAAATGTACGAATGATAATATATAATCTGATGAGCGAACAGCAACGGTCCTCGAGTTGAGCCACGCCATCAACTATTAACTATTAAACTTACAGCCCTACACTACATTGTTCTCAGCCTTCTTCCACGTTCCCTCCGCTTTTCATGTTTTAATCGTATTTTTTTTCATCTAATCTTTATCCCTTACCTATTTGTTATCAGCACCAATCTGATTCATTAAAAAAAAAGCCAATCAAAATATCGTATAGATTGGAATTACCTGTTGTATAAATATACATTCAATATTATTAATAGTATACAAGAATCATACCTTTCTTCGTACATCGTATCATCGTCAAATATGCTGTGACGTTTCATATTATTTTTTTCTCTCATTTTAATCTTCGTAGCACAGTGGGTGTCCGTCCGTCTCGTTACTTCATTTTTTTATACTTTTTTTTTCAACATTTTCCCCCTTTTTCGTTTGCCTATCGCCCTCTCATTCGCACACACTCGCGGCCATTATTTTTTTACTTTTTCCAACTTTTTTCATTCTACCACTCGCATCCACATATCCCGTAACGTTTTGTTATTTATCATTTGTATTTTCTCTCTCTTCTAACTCTCAATGATTTAATTTTATATCCATGTTTTACATTATTTACAGACGTCCTCATCGGCATCCTCATCATCCTCTTGCACATGATTTCTTCACATACTCAACTTGACTCAATTTTATTTTTTTTTCTCCAATTACTTTTTTAGTTTCTCGAATTTGTTGCTCTTTTAAACATAGGCAAGTTAAATATTGTATCACAATCGTTTCAGTCTGGTCGAAATCGAACATTTTCAACCCGTTATTATATATAATATATCTTTATATAGAGAAAGAAACGCGTTTTGATAAAATTAGTATACAGTTAAACCCATTCGAAAGAAATCACCCCTTGGAAGGGGCAACAGCTCTCCCTTCCGAAAAAAAAATTAAGGAAGCGCGACCGGTAATAACACTGACTGACACTTAATTCAGCGGCGAAGCGGTAAAACGGTTCAAGTAGACTTGGCCCTTAGCGGAGTTTACGAATATCTCCGAATCTAAGCAACATACCGAAATTTTCGTAATTACCACGAAAATGTTTTTTGTAGAACAAATTGAGAGCTACAAAAAAGGTCATTACGAAATCTCGGTATCTCCCCTGGATTCCGAGTTATTCGTCGAAAACTAGGGATGGGCGATGTTTGTCGATTAATCGAAAACATCGATTTCATTCGATGTTTTCAACGGGCGATTAATCGATTTTCGATTTTTTCGGAACATTGATATTCTCAATGGTTGATTAATCGATTTTCGATTACTTTTTTCCAAACATCGATGTTTTGAAGGTCGATCAATCGATTTTCAATCCTTTTTTCCACCCATCGATGATTTCAACAGTCGATTAATCGATTTTCGATCTTCTCTTCAAATATCGATGTTTTGAACGGTTGATTAATCGATTTTTGATTCTTTTTTTCAAATATCGATGCCCTCAGCGGTCGATTAATCGATTTTCGATTTTTTCCAAACATCGATTTTTTAACCAAAAACTAACAAAATTTTGAATTTTTTCAAAATTAAAAAAAAATGTCATCATTTTCTACACTATGTACGTTGTAAATGGTGAGATTCTCAATGGTTGATTAATCGATTTTCGATTATTTTTTTCCAAACATCGATGTTTTGAAGGTCGATCAATCGATTTTCAATCCTTTTTTCCACCCATCGATGATTTCAACAGTCGATTAATCGATTTTCGATCTTCTCTTCAAATATCGATGTTTTGAACGGTTGATTAATCGATTTTTGATTCTTTTTTCAAATATCGATGCCCTCAGCGGTCGATTAATCGATTTTCGATTTTCCCAAACATCGATTTTTTAACCAAAAACTAACAAAATTTTGAATTTTTTCAAAATTCAAAAAAAATGTCATCATTTTCTACACTATGTACGTTGTAAATGGTGAGTGGACAAGTCCAGTCGTCTATTGTTTTTTCAAATATATATCTTTCAATAAAAATAATAAAAAATTCTTTAAAAAAATCATTTTTTCCCTGTAATGAGAAATAGCTTCGATTTCCTTCGACAATCAATATTATCCAAAACATCGTCCACCCCCTCAAACCCTGATCCCCATTAAAAACGGCCACGAACCACTTATCCGCACCGCTGCCGAATCCCCGATGAAATCCCCCGAAAATAAAGAAAAAAAAAAAAAAATGACCAACAACAATGAAACGAACGAACAAACAAAAGAATGGACTCAACATCGACGTACCAATGATAACCAAAATGCCGTATAAATGCAGAAAAAAATCTATGTCACGGGTAATGTTGCTGGAGTGGCTGGCACATATGGGCTGAATTACCCCCCGTACCGATGGCATTAGTACCAAAGCAACGCTGAAACTTGAGCGGTATTCCTGCTTGCTAATAGGCGGCAGGATGGACGGTTAGTCACTGGGGTGGTAATGCCGATGGTGTTTTAAATTCACCCGTAACAGTAACACCATTAGTCTGGCCGGGGAATTGTGATGACGATACTGGTGGTTGATGATTGAATGCCGGTGCATAACACTGGGGAAAATAAAGTTCAGGCTTAACGACTGTCGGTGTGAGTCCCCTTGGCACAGGCACAGGCCCAATAGCAGCGGACGTCGTTGTCTTAACATCGCTGCTCGAATTTCTCCTGACTTTGCTGGCATGTGGATTCATATGATTATCAATGTGCTTCTTGACCTCGGGCTCAGTGGCAAAACGCCTGCGGCAATTGGGCATTGGACAGCAGAATGGCCTGTCCCCCTGATGTGTTCGCGTGTGCTGATCAAGTATAGCTTTCTGCCTAAAGTCTTTACCGCACTGTTGACACTTGTAAGGTTTTTCACCCGTATGTATACGTAAATGTTGATTAAGTATGGTCCTCTGTCTAAAATTACGGCCACAGTAAACACAACCGTACGGTTTTTCATTCGTATGTATGCGCAAGTGTTGGGTCAAGTGTGACTGTTGGCGAAATCTTTTGCCACACTCGGGGCACGGGTATGGACGTGATTCTATGTGTATACAGCCGTGCTGAAGTAATGTGCTCTTCTGTTTAAATTCCTTTTGGCATATTGGACAACGGACGTACAGCGGCATACCCGCTGATCTGCCGTGCTGTATGACATCGGGTAGACATGATTTACCACCATTTGTACCATTACCACCAGCCCCACTACCACCACCGCTACCCTGCTGCTGTTTAATGTACTGCAGTGCACCAAAACTGCTTGGCCCACCAGCACCAAACACCGCGTGATTACCCCCCTTTGGATCCTTGAAATAAGCTGGATATTGAATTGAATTGCCATCGGGCGAGGGACTAAATGCCCCTGACTGAGTGTCATTGTCACCGAATGTCGAGGCAACCTCCTCTTTACCGTCCTCAGGGGGAAACGGCACGTCCTGAGGCCACAGGGTTGGTGTCATGCCATTCTTGAAGATCAGATGCGGACTCACATCTGCAATGACAATTATCATACATTTTAGGGATTACCGATATCGCGCGCCACCTGGGTCAGGAAGTCTATGTTCATTGTCTATCTCTGTTTCATTTTGTAACATTCATGATTAGTAGATGTTTTGTTTTTTTTTTTTTCTCTTGTATTTAATGTTCTTTCTTCATTTATGAGTAAAATACACAAGCAGTATCAGCGCGTCGGGTCACGTGCCTCCAGCAGACAGTCGATGGTACAAAAAAAAATAAAAAAATTGTTTATTGTGTGTGTACAAATAAATTAATAATTCTTCAGGTAAAAAGTAACAAAAGTAAAGAAAACACTTCCCATATTAGCGCGAGCACAGAACCTTTACAAGGGCGGGTTATACAGTAGTTTAAGGTGGCCCGAGTAGTTTAAAACCTCGTAATTCTCAGTTTTATGGAATTATAATTTCGTCAATTATAATTTTTTTTTTTTACAGAAATATACAGAATATGGTTGTTTACAGTACGAGACCTTGAGGCTATCCGTAGGCCCGACCTCGGCGAGGGAGTAAAGCTGATGGTGAAGATGAATTATAGTGGGTGAGTGGTATTGCAAACAGGCATATCACGGAATACTGGTTTTTTTTT